AAATATCAAAAACAATAATGGACCTAGATTTGACCCTTGAGCTACCCCGGACGTGGCCCGATAGTAACTCGACCTATGACCACCATATTCGACAAATAACCTTCTATCCCTCAAATATGAATTCATGAGCGACAGCATTGCATCAGACATACCCACTGTTTTAAGCTTATCCAGAAGTGCATAATGATTAACTTGATCAAACGCCTTCTGAATATCTGTGTAGATGACATCAACTTGTCCCTGACCGTCCAGTACTTCAGACATGTACTGAGTAATTAGAGCCAAGTTGGTGACCGTAGATCTGCCTCTCATAAACCCATGCTGATTAATAGAGACTGCACCTTTGACCGAGCAGTAAACCGTTTCATAGGCGATGATCTCAAACAACTTGCTGAAATTGCACAGGATTGCTATTTGGCGATAGTTGGAAGTATCAGAGATATCTCCACTTTTGTGAATAGGACATATTTTAGAGGTCTTCCAGATATTTGGATATGTCTCTGATTTTAGAATTAGGTTGAATATGGAAGCCAGCGGTTTCGCTAGTATATGAATGCAATCTCTAACGAAAAAACTTGGAATACCATCACATCCAGACGTCATTTTGTTCTTCAATCTTTTCGAAGCCCTAATTACGTTTTCTTCACTTATATTTTTTAAAGAAATGATATCGGTAGAATTATTTGTTGGAGGAGATGACCCTAGTAGACCAGACGGGATAAAAACTGTTGAAAAGAAGGTAGCCAAACTGTCCACTATATCCTGAGGCGTATCGCAGACATTGCCGTTAAGCGTCATCCTTGGGGGGATTCTAGATTGCTGTTTTTTGATCTGGGCCAATGACCAGAATTTGCTAGGATCATTGACAATGACATCCTCAACTGATTGGACGTAATATTCAATAAGCTGGGGATGTTTCAATGACAAGCTGTCATCTCATACTTTGACAGTATTTTGTTTTCAACATTTCATAGCTATTGGTTGCTAAAATTTGTTGATTGGAACTTGAAGCTCATTCGTTGTATTTGTCGGTCTGTTACCCTATAGGTGGAGAATAACGGACTGTTGTTGGTGAAATTGGCCCTAAATAACGCTTCGCTGCACTCTCGACCAAAATCCTTTTTTTGCATAAATTATTAACATAATGTTAGTTCTTCGCTGAGATTGACAGGTGTTCCCAAACGTCCTGCTTTCCCGTTTCAGATAGGACGGTACTGCATTTTTCTTACACCGAATTCAACGACACTATTTACGAATTCCGTTTTTTTTGCCGGTTCGGCAACACTGCAGATGTGCAGATCACTTTAAAAGCAATTGATATCCCAGACGTGTTATAGTAATAGAAATAACAAGCAAATATAACAATGTTTGGAGATATATTTTCATAAATAGGTCTTTTTGATTCTGACTTATAATATCTAGATGATGAATAATAGATGGATGCGGCTGGTTTTACAAATATCGACGTTTTAGGATCCAGAAATGCAGAATGTGCTGTTTGTTTACGTTTGGTGCGGATTTCTAGATCCTAAATTGGCAAACAAATTTTTTGATGTAACAAAAGATGATGAACCAATTGGAATACGTTTTATATCCTTTTTTGCATGGGACGGTACTGCATTTTAATGTTCATATTCAAAGTCAGTATCCCAAGTTAAATTTCGTATTGAGAAAGATCAAACTTTTGAAAAATAATGGATGTGGGGTCTATAGAAATAGGTTCCTGATATAAAATTTCCGACGCCTCGGAAAAATGTACTTCCCATTTCGGGGCTCCTTTTCGTCATAAGCTGTGGTGGTCAAATAAGAATGAATAAACAGCGACTAGATCACAAACAGTGACTGTTATGTTTCTATACCCGCAAAAAATGGTCAGGGTACCTTTCACCAGAAAGCGAAAACTGGATGGGATTAAGCCTCCAACAGTCCAAGGTAAAAATTTACCGTTTGTAAAAGAGGCGAAATATCTAGGATTAATCTTAGATGAAACACGAAACTGGAATTCGCATCTGAAAGCAGTCCTTAAGAATGCAAGGAATTCGCTATGGAACTGCCGAAGGGCCTGTGAAAAAACTGGGAAATAAAGCCTAAACGAATGTCTTTAGACCTATAATGTAGCTTGGTGAGGCAAGGCAACACAAAGAACTGTCCAAGCCAGATGAGCGCAATACAGAGAGAGAAGCTTGTGTGTTGATCACTGGTACCTTTCGTAAAACACCAACTGCAGCTATGGGGGTCCTTCTTAATTTACCCTCCTTGCACATATACCTGGAAAACGAGGCAAGCAGGACATCTTATAGACTACATCATGTGGCAAATGGTATGATGCGCAATATCACTATGGAGAAGACGGACATGCTGGTGAACTTACAAAACCACCCCAGTCTGGGAATGCCTTCTGATATAATGCCAAAGATAACAAGATATGCTAAACCCAACACAGCGACAAATCCACACAGGAATCAGTGGGAACAGCAAATTAACCTGACAAGGAAAGATATCTGTGTATACACAGATGGCTCCAAGACCGAGATAGATGCTGGAGCTGGTATCTTGGTGGCGGAGCTAAAGATAAAGAAATCTGTTAGCCTAGGAACCTGGGCATCGATCTTCCTTGGAAAGCTATATGCTATAGAACTGGGTACAAGAATGATCGCAGATTGACAACTGAGACACACAACTATAATTATTTTTTCAGATAGTCAAGCCACACTTAAAGCACTTGACTCCACCTACTCGACATCGTGATTAGTGTGGAATTGCAAAGAAGCTCCCGGTGGCATAGGGGAGGAAAGTGAAGTCCGTCTCGTATGGATACCAGGACACACAGGTCTAGACAGAAACGAGACAGCTGACACTTTGGCAAAGAGTGGGGCTGGCACACCCTTCATAGGGCCTGATCCAGCGATTGGGATCGCAGACAATATGGTTAAACAAATAATCTCTGCAGAGATGCACACAAAGATCCATGAATGCTGGGAGGGATTAGCATGCTAAGACAACTATACCAATCTTGACAAAGAAGGTAACAGACTCCTTGCTACGGCTGAACAGGAATAGCCTTAAGGCTCTAGTAGGACTGTACACTAGTTATTGCAAATTGCGTCACCACATGAGCAGGCTGGGCATGGCGGACGACGCTGAGTGCAGACTGTGCATGGAAGGCGATGAAACGATCAGGCATATATTGTGCAGATGCCCTGCAATTGCCAGAATCAGGTACAACATACTTGGAGAAGTAGTACTCCAAGGAGAAAACCTGACGGATATTTTTCCAAACACGTTAATCGACTTCCTCAGCAGGTCGGAGTTACTGAGGGAAACATAAATAGGTGTGAGCCACAATAGACCAAAGAGTCGCAGTAGAGGATCGTTATTGATGCACTCAGGAGAAATCTAACCTCTGTTTATATAGCTATACACGGACTCTCAACATAACAGTGTATCAATAATAATGTCTGGGATGTTTCCGACATTTGATCGCTTCTGACTAAGAGTAGCCTTGAAGAAGGAAAGATAAACAACTTTATAACAGGAAACTGTTCGTTGAGATCCCTCATCCAATTAACCACAAGAAATTTTATCTGAATAAGGGTCATTGGGACCATATCGTCAGTAGTCGTTCCTACAGTTGTAGGACGCCTTTATGGCCCTCCTGATTTCGATAGTTTTTTACTGTTCCGTGTCAGTGTCAGCGCAGTCCTATTGTGAGGTTATGGTTTCCTTTTAAATAAGTTTTGTCAGCCTGAAATTTTGTGTAATTCAAAAATAAAGTGTAACTTCAAAATACAGCGCTTACACAACACACAAGAAATATAGAAATACCCTTATCTCTCAGAAGGACAGGAAAAACGATGAAAATCAAGAAGGCCATGACGGCATCCCATCTACAATCTTGATCGCAACGCGGCTCTTGGATTATCGGTATGCGTAGTGTTTCTGTAGACTTCAAGGAACCTATGTTCGCAAAAAACAGTGCTCGAAATGCACTGTAGTCTCCCGGTTGGTACTAGTATCGATTTGTGGACACATAGCCAGCATATCGTGTCTAGCATTCTTCGTTCTCAGCGTGTATTTTAATTAAAGTACATAAATCTCAACAGAGCCAAAGGAATCCCTTAGTATTTCCTTTCTTCTACCTGCTGAAAACCGCGATAAGGAAATGCAAAACGAAATCAAGCCGCACTTGTCTGAGCTGAATGCATACAGTGGTGGAGCATGGATGTATTTATGAAAGACCTAAACCTAAGTCGCACTGATGATCGCTAAAAACATGGAACAGTATTCTATGCGTTTGTTATTGGTTACAGAGATGGAAAGCAAGCAGATTCAGTTCAGTTTGTGTTTATTAAGATATAGAATCTTGCACCGTATTGCAGGTAGCCTTGAAAACGTCTCGTATTCCAACTGATCGGATGGCCATCCTTTCAGTCGTGGTTGTAACAGTCACTCAGTGTAGGCTAAAGTCCTAGGGGCCTTCTGCATTTTCAGCGTATGAACTGGGGACGTTTGAGCTATTTAAAAGGTCACCACCTTTTAAATAGCTCGTCCGACCGATTGTCAGTGTTGCCACCTCTTTGTTCACAACATGCTGCGTTTCTCAGTAGAACATATTTGTATGTCTCCATACGATCTCAGCCGTGCTTCTAATTGCTTACGAGACAAAAAAGAAATAAGTTTGATCGTGTCAGATTATCTGTTACAATATATGGCATGAGATTAAAATAAACTGTTCATGCAATGTCAGTCTTTAAACACGGGATCGTTTGGTATAATATAGTGGTGGATAAGGCTGCATCAATCTTATGTCTCATATGTCCTTTATGTTGCTTTTCACAAATTTGAAGTTATTTTGTTAGATCTGAAATGGCGCCTTCCCTTTTCCACGACGATTTTGTTCTGATGTAAAAACGCGTCGTGCGCTACTGGACCGTGCAGAAGTGAGGGCAGTCAAGTTGAACGAATGTGAGCTCCCGGTGGTTTTGTCTTATAAAATATACATGGGACTGGTGGCGACCGCTCTCTAAATCTACCATGTTTATGTCAGATGTGTGATATGAGTTGAAGATGTTGCACACAAGACTTTGATAGGATTAACTTGTTATTCACACGTTGCTTACCCATGAATGAAAGATTTTTCATAGAAAATACTCATGTTGGAGAAAATGCAGGTTAGCTTACTATGAGCTAATCATCTATTGACATCGACTATCATCAAGCTTTTACCTGCAAATTGAAAATTATAGATACACAAATACGAGCACACTTGATCGTCATTATTGATATTTAACAACTCAAGACATGAGTCTTAACAAATCAGTTAATCGTTTGCGGTCTACTGGACCTCTAGACTGACCACCAGTTCATAGTCAACTTATCTGACTCCTGATTGTTTGAGAAGTTATCACGAATATTTTCCTCATGTATAAAAAATGCAATACGAGGGTGGAATTCTCGCAAAATTACAGTGAAAATTTGTCATCTTGAAAGGCATAAATATCAAATTTTGAGAATTATTTCGTTTCGAAAACGATTCCTTGTGTTTCATTCAAGGACAAATGATGAAAATTAAACCTATAAATACAATACTGAACAATCAGTATTTATATCTTAGACGAAAGCACTACAATACCGACGCTGGCAAATATTCTCACTGACTGAGCCTACAACTTGAAAAATAAAAATCGAGAGGATTATTAAGAGTATACCGTGAACACTGACACTGAATTTAAGAGAGTCCGCGATGCAAGGAATGAGTTCAATGCGATGATATAGAACTATGATGGGAAAACGCCTGGTAGCATACCAAATAAGTTATTCTTTGTTTTGTCCTACGAATTAGCATGACGAGGAGGAGAGAGTGTAAAATTTCCAACTTTCTATTTCAAAGAACAAATCAATAACCCATGGGAAAAACAATATGAGGAGGTAATAAACCTTGTGCTCCTTTCAAGTGGCTGGTTAAAAACATAGTTAATTCGGGTTTGTGCCCAGCAAGGTTATTCAGAATGTTCTTGGAAAAGCGAAATTACATAAATATTCTGAGATTTTTCATAACTGTCAATCCTTTTTGGAAATTGGGCGAGTGGTAGAAGAACATACCTATCCGAAAAAACATGATCACTCAGAGGGCGACAACGGGTGCGGGTGCGGTTGAAGAGAATACGCTGACAAAAATTACTGGAAATAAAGCCATATCTCCAACTGGACCAGGAATACAATTCAAGCATAGTATAAAAAATGAGAGATAATAATACTGCTAACTCTAATAAAGAAACCGATGAAGCAACGTGCCTATAATAAGTTTTTTGAGTTATAATTCAATAGCAAACTCGTGTACATCATCAAGTAGTGCAGCAGACTTCAAAAATACTAATCTTTACAACTGTGTTTTCAATTGCAAATCATGCAATGTTTAGTTTCGATAAGTTCTGTCTCATCCTAATTTGTGAATTTTTCTGTCGTTCTTATGTACCTACCTACTTAATGTAAATTTAAATAGAATTTCGAGCTTAACCATATACTTCTACTCTTTCAACTCAGAAAATATTCTACGAAATTACACTCATGTATTAAAATATACCTATATTGAAAATCACTGAATACTACAAAACTGTTACTCCACATTAAAAAATCGTCAGAAAGCTGGAAACATGCAGAGGCCAAGTTTGGTAACTGTCTGCGAACCCTTACATTCCAGCTAATTAGTCTTCCCATCGAGCGAGTATTATACCCCGATACTGACTCACTGATATATCACAAATCAGGTTCCAATATTTTGGTATATCAAGTGCTCGCTAGTTTCATAGAAAAGGGATACTCATAACAACCACGTATACACAGTATGGTACAAAAAATATTACGCAGCTGGGGGATCATGGAGATTGTGAATGAGACCGGTCTAGTGTTACATGGCGAGGATAAATTAATCAGTGGTTCGAATGCTGTTTGATTTACGCAATTTTGCAAATCTGGGAGATATCGAGTTTATTTGAAAATCGAATCCCTTAGCTAGGCAGGTATGTTGCCACTCATACGACCCGTGATGACCTGCTGTACAAGACTGTGGAAATACACTGTATGGCAATTTGAAGCCTCATTTTATATTTCCTAACACTAATTCAATATATCTGCAGTATAAAATGAACGATTTTTTGATAGAAACATCAGCATGGCCGCAAAGGATTAAAGTTTTGACCTAAGCCCAAATTGATCAGAAAAATGAAAAATGGCAAATAACATATATTGAAAGGGCATACCCATAACAACCACGTATATACAGTATGGTACAAAAAATATTACGCAGCTGGGGGATCGGGAATCAGGGAGATTGTGAATGACACTGGTCTAGTGTCACCTGGCGAGGATAAATTAATCAGTAGTCCGAATGCTGTTTGATTTACGTAATTTTGCAAATCTGGGAGATAGCGAGTCTATTTGTAAGGAAATCCCTTAGCTAGGCAGTTATGTTGCCACTCATATAACCCAGGATGACCTGCTGTGCAAGGCTGTAGAAATACACTGTATGGCAATTTGAAGGCTCGTTTTATACAGGGTGTCCGCAAAGTTGGGGTTTTTCATTACACGACGTGTAGATCTTGAAAACAAGCAATTTTTCTTAGTACCATATACACCAATGTCTTAAGGGAACCGAGATAAAGGGCTCTGCAACATCAAACATATCTGAATACCGTCCTGTAGCCGCGACATCCCCGACTGGTACTAGGACACTAGCTCAACCCGAACTTGGTCGGGGTCAGTGTGTCAGGTCAGTATGCAACCTTCAACCGACGGTTACGGTCACGCGTGTAGAGGTAATCGCGTAGACGAGAATCCCTCAACAAGCACTAGAGACGTGGCCAGAGAAGTGCAAGTATCAAAAACTAAAGTGTGGCAAACGCTGCGTGAAGAGGGGCTGTATCCGTTTCACGTCCAACGTGTACAAGCCCTTCAACCTGACGAGTTTCCATCAAGAGTGCGGCTTTGTGAGTGGTTGTTGCATCAACATGACAATAATCCGGACTTTCTGAAGTGCATATTGGTGACAGACGAATCTACGTTCACGCGTAATGGGGTAAATAACTTTCGCAACACTCATGTTTGGTCAGTAGAAAATCTGCACGCTGTCCGTCGGGCACATTTTCAACAAACATTTTCGGTGAATGTTTGGGCTTGCATTGGACCATTTATTCTCCCAAATCGATTGGACGAGATGCAATACCTAGACTTTTTACGCAACATTTTGCTTTCCTTGTTTGCCTGCGCCTGCTCGGTAGTGCATCAGCTGATTTCATCTTCTGTTGGAGCGGTATGATTTCGGACAGAGACGTACTTAGCCCTTCTCGTCAACTGGAGAGTGAGTACTTTTTCCTTTATTTTTTTTTTACTTGGTCGCCCTCGTTTCACTACACATTACCTCTGTTATTTCAAGGGTAGTTGTTTCTGAAAAAGACAACCCCAACTTTGTGGAATTTATTAACACTAATTCAATATATCTGCAATATTAAGTGAACGATTTTTTAGAAAGATCAGCATGGCCGCAAAGGATTAAAGTTTTGACCTAAGCCCAAACTGATCAGAAAAATGGCAAATAACATATATTGAAAATCACTGAATATTGAAAAAATGTTTCTCCACATTACAAAATCGTCAGAAAGCTGGAAACGTGCAGAGGTCAAGTTTGGTAACTGCCTGCGAACCCTTCCATTTAAGCTCATTACTCTTCCCATCGAGCGAGTACTATACCGCGATACTGACTCACTGATATATCATGAATAAGGTTCTACTGCTTGGAGGTATTTGTAGTTATTTGAAAGAAATCCTTATACGAGCAGACGTGTATTTTATAGAGTAGAATAGCTCGTTGGTTACTTACCAATAACTTATTTTTATCTATTATTTCAGTGCGACAAAAATGGCATTGTTCAAGAACAAATTGAGTATAAGAATCGAAATCAGCATACAGAGAGGATCTGTCCATCCATGTCCAAACATGGGGTGATCGTTGCGACGATCTCCTAGTGGCACTCGATTGCATGTTGAATCCGAAAGATCGGAAATTGGATAAAATAATTCACGCGGTGTTTGTCTAATCGATTTAGGATGACGTAAATGATTCGAAACTGGTTAAGTAAACTGTTCGGTACTCGGTCGGTTATTCCGTTGAGTCCGTAGCCACCGAATCGTTCGATAAACTTCATTACAACGTTGTTCCATTGTAACGAATGACTGCGACCAACACCGATGGACGACAGACGCCAAAGAGAGAAAGATAGTTGGAAGGAGAGAGCGAGGAGGAGGATAAATATTTGGGGACTGAACACTAGCGCTCTGCAGCCCGTTAGGTTTCTTTTTGTACCTCCTTGCAGTGAGACGTCCGAAGCTTGTAACTGACATGAATTGTGAACGCTCGTAAACAGATTTAAACAGGCGGATAGGAGCTCCAAGAGGGATTCATCAATTGTGAGCACTGCGTAGAATACAATTTGATGATTTGTAAGAATGAAAGCTGATATTTGAGTCCCATGCAGGAGCGAAGATCATACCTTTTTATCCAAATAACTTGAAAAGATTACGTTTTCTCAATTTAATACTTGTTTAACTACCAATAATCCACTTTCAGGTCAACAATCTGAATTAGGTATAACACACCAGCAGTCATTCTTTTGATAAGTGGTGACATCATCACTGCTTTTGATAAAGGTTATGCTCCAATTTAAGTTTTTAAAAGCTTTCGATACAATTAACCACTGAAAGCTTGAATAGGCGACGAAATTCGCACTTATAAAATCTGGGGTATCTCAAGGTTCTGTTTTATGGCCACTACTATTCACATTATACAGCGCGTCTGGTAAATAGTACGACAAAACAATACGGACGGAAGGCAAAGGGCAGATTTACAACATCCCAAAAAAATCACCCTAGTAAAAGTTTCACTGTTTTTGAGATATTAATTTTTTTGTCCTTTTTTTTAATCTATCTTTTAATGATGTGCCTAGAAATAACAGGATATCTTTTTGTTTTTTTTTTGCAAAAT